GGGGTGGCTTCTCTGGACATTAATTAGGTCCCTTCCTATGACTCCTCATGGTGAAATTCTTGACTGTGCACAGTCATCAAGTGGTTAAGCTCGAGGGTTTCACATGACTTCCATACCCTTGGCCTCTTGCTTCCTTCAAAGTCCCCAAGGCACGGTTGTGTCCTGGGGGGCTTCAGGTTCCCAGAAGCAGCCTGGACCCCAGGCTCAGCTGGGCTCCCTCTGCAGAAAGAACCTGGACTGTGATATGGGACAAAACAGGGTCTAGGGAAGTGCATTTGACCCCTTGAAGAGTCTTTCCTCCACCTGTTTTTGTCTGAGTCTCCAACTCTCCACACCGCTCATGTTTCAGGCACAGTTCTGCTGAGAGCAGGCTGTGGTCAACCCTGCCTACCCCAATTATGGCAAGCTATGCATTCCAGGCATTCTTCCACCCCTTGAAGATAAAACCACATATTTGTACCATCAAATTTTCTAGGGTCTCAGATTCTCAGCTATCTACACACAATGGCCAAAGGGCCTCATGAGCTCCCACCGCAAATAGAAGAAGACAGGAAATCAAAACTTATTCAAGGAAAGGAAAAGGGTCCATGAGAAATCAGTACTCCCCAAAAGTCACACAAACATTAAACCGAGAGGGGATGGTTTCCTGACCAGGAATGTAACCCATGGCATCAGGGTGAAAGTACAGAATTTGAACTCAAAGGCCGCAAGGTGGAGTGGCCTTTGTTGTTATTCCCACAGGGGCAGTTTAAGCAGACATAGGAGTTTAACTTTGTTCAGGTCAGATTTTTGGTTCTTTTGCCAAGAAGAGTTTTAAGGCTAGCTGTCACACTATTATGTGTCTTTTTACACATTTAACCTTTCTATCAATTGGTTAGAATAAGAAATCTCTGAAATCCTTTTAACAAAATTTAGGAGGCTAATTTAAAGGATTGATCTTTTGGCCATTGACAATTAGAATTCTCAATAGTGTACTAAATTTCAATAGCAACTGGATGCAATAACCTTCTCAAAGAAGAAGTAATCCCAAAGACTACTCCTGTTCTCCTACATAGGCTGAGATAACAAATGACTCCCAGGATTGCAGTTTACCAGCACTCACTGGCTAGACCAGCGGTCCCCAACCTTTCTGGCAGTTTCTTGGAAGACAATTTTTCCATGGACTGGCATTATGGGGATGGTATTGGGATGATTCAAGCACATTACATTAACTGTGTGCTTTATTTCTATTATTATCACATTGCAATATATATTGAAATAAATATACAACTAACCATAATGTAGAATCAGTGGAAGCCCTGAGCTTGTTTTCTTGCAACTAGACGATCCCATCTGAGAGTAATGGGGAGGGTGACATATCATCAGAAATTAGATTTCCATAAGAGTGTGCAACTAAAGATCCCTCGCATGTGCAGTTCACCATAGAGTTCTCTCTCCTATGACACTCTAATGCTCCTGACCTAACAGGAGGCAGAGCTCAGGTGGTAATGCCAGTAATGGGGAGTGGCTCTAAATATAGATGAAGCTTCTGTTGCTCACTGATGCACACCTCCTGCTGTATGGCCCGATTCCTAACAGGCCATGGACCTGTGCTGGTCCCTGGATTATGGGTTGGTGATCCTTGCCCTAGCCAATAAAGTTTGAGATGACAAAAGCCCGTTAAGGATGGGACTTCTAATGACAAACTCTGCCGAGAGCTTGGCACATTCTAAACAAAATAATATCTCTTTGCTTCCCAGCGAAGAGATTTGTTAGACTAGATGCCTGCCGCCGTGACCCAAAAATCACTTGTCCTGGATGGTGGAGAGCAAGAGGGAGTGCTTCCTCTTGCTCACAAATAAAGCTCTCAAGAACACAGATCAAGACGAGAGGGAACATTATCCTATAACCCTCTATGAACAACACAGAAATACAAAGACAAAGGAATACACTGCTTCCTGCAGGAAAGGGATCAGAAAATATGAATATTCACACCACAAAGTAGTGTAAGGTGTAACAGAGTTGCTACAGCCAGATTAGTCACACAAAAGTCTTTTTTCTCCCAGGCATAATACCTTGTAGAGGAGACAAACAGAGAGATTTGTTTTGTACCATTTGCCTGACTGGGTTGTACAGAGAGAGAAACTGAGAGTTTGATTGGTAAGAAATTCTTACCCTTTTGCCAGCTTGTCAGGTTCCTGCATTCCCTTAACTGGAGGTTCCAGAAGAGTGGAGTGGCTTTGGTGACCCTGCTCGCTATACCAAACTGTGTGAAGGTTTGCTGAGAAATCAACTCACGAAAGACAGATTAGCAGGAGAAAAGGCTACAAATTTATTTAACATATATACACGGCAGCCTTCAGAACAAAAGCAGAAATATACAGGGGAAATTGTTTGTATGCTTAGGTTCAACAAAGTGTGGGTAGCCCTGTAGAAATATGATGGGACAAAAAGGCTATGATCTAATGTCAATCTGGCAGGGCCTGTCTGTCTAGACTGTGTTTGGTCTCTCTGAACACACGTTTCTCCCTCCTGGGTATGGGGTAGGACCCTCTCTGTAATGGGGGTCTTGTGACTTGCAGTCAAACAAGGTAGGGTAGGTCATTTCTTTATGGCCACTGTTACACAAAAGAAGTGGAGGAAAAATTAGAAAATTATTTTTAGGTTTTGTGACTATCTTTAGAAAAAAGGGCTTCTGGTTTCTAGGACCCTCCTTGGGGAAGAGGGATTCTGCTCTGTACAGTTAGCTCCTAGGGCAGGATGGGACTGAGAGACAGGAGGACCCAGAACATCAGAGAAAGCCCTTTACATCTGAGACTACTACTGGGCCTTCATTTTGGGGCATTGTGCTCTGAGCCCAAACACTAGAAGTCAACTGCATGTGCAAGTTCAACACTTAAAATTTCTACTTTCCTCAAGAAACGCAGTAAAGCCCAAGAACACAATACAGCCCAATTTTTGGCCACAGTAAGACTAGAATCACCTTTCCATAAGCTTCCAATAACATCTTCCCAGTTTCCATCTGAAAACTCACCACAAGCATTGTTAACAGTCATAGTTCTAACAACATATTGATGACCATGATATATGTATTCTCTAAGTTAGAGATCCTTTCTTTACATCAAATAATTATTTTTTTTAACCCTCACTTGAATTGCATTTGGCATCCACATATCCCCCAGCTGTCTCCTAAAGGCACTGTAGGCTCCTTGTGTCATGCATGTCAAAATGTTTCCAGCCTCTATCCATAACCTAGTTCCAAAGCTGCTCCCACTCTCTCAGGTGTTGGCTATCAGATCACTCCACTGCTTAGCAACAGAATCCCTATTAGTTTTCTCTGTTATCCTTACAATATACCACAGGCCTGGTGGCTTAAACAGCAGAAATTATTTTTCACAGTTCTGCAGGCTGGAAGTCCAAATCAAACTGTCAGCTGGGTTGATTCCTTCTGAGCAGTAAGAGGGAAGGATCTCTTCCAGGGATCTTTCCTTGGCTTGTAGATGGCCCACTTCTCCATATGCCACTTCACATTTTTTTCCCTGTCCGCATACCTCTGTGTTTGAATTTCCCCTTTTGATAGGCACAATGCATGCTAGCCATTTTGGGTTAGAGCCCACCCTAATGAATGTAATTTCACTTGAGTACCCCAGTAAAGAACCCATCTTCATGTAGAAGAGGGGCAAGAAGTCAGGAGTTCATTAGATGTATTTGGTGGTGTTGGAGGGGAGGCACACATCTGAACCCATAGGACACAGGAATCCTGAATTGTAGGTGGAAATATCTCTCGCTTCTTCCATTATTTTAAGAGAACACTGGTGACTAATGATGGGATACAAGGTGACTCCTACCCACCGTTTTTTCAAGACTACTTGAATGTTGAGAAATTTTATACACACACAAAAATCTGGTTTATTCCATGAAATTCTCTAGGTATAATGAGAGTGAAAAAGCTAATAGACATTGTTAGAGATACAATGTTGATCTGACTAATCCTTATAAAGGAAAATCTAGGAATATAAGAGACAGAAATGACCATATAGTAAAGTGATTAAATAGGAAATTATTAAATGAAAATAATTACTGTCCTTGATGCAACTTGCACTATAGATATATTAGAGTTGAAAATGTTTAGTTCTTGGTGAAATAATGCATGAAAAGTTGTCAAGACGCCAAAACCACCTGCCCCTCCCCTTTATTACCTCCCCCAACGAGGTAATAATAACCTATTAATCTTATGGCCTCAGGTCTCAATCACACCCCCTTGTCAACGTTTCCCCTGTTATTTCTCAGATTCTTACGTGAGCTCGGAAACTAGCGTTCGCCTTTATTTTACTTGCAGCCTCTCAACAGGTGCCTGCCACGAGAAAATTAGCCTCTGGGGTACGGCCGACTTTTGTTCACTGGGGGTCACAGATCCCAGTCCTCAGGGCCTCAAGACTGGGCCACAAAAGAAGAAAAGGAAGCATTGGAAGCAGCCTCATCAGAAAACCTGATACCTCCCCTCCACCGCCTCTACTTTCACCAGGTGGAAAATTCCCTCTCCCATCTTCTGAACAGAAGCCAAAGTGCCTCCTGCCCCGCCCCCCCACCCCCTTACATTTCCTCGGAGAAACCGTCCGCCTACCGGCTCTGTGCAATCAGCCGCACAGAATTCAAGCTCAGATTCGGCTTTGATGATCTGACAGGGAGAGAGACTAGAAATTGGACAATCTCCCACCCCCCATATTCCTTCCCAGGGAGAGATGAGGAGATGCACAAGGGGTTCAAGACAGCTTCCAATCATCCCCACCCGCCCCTTGCCACCCTCCCCAAACACCAGCCCCTCCACCCCCAACAACACCGCCGCCCACCTCAATCCAGGCAAATCCTAAATCCTACCCAGGTGAACCACAACTCCTTCCTCAGCGCAACCAGGCCATGGGAGTGCTCCATCCCCTGCCTCGAAGTTACCGATCCTCCAAACAGGGGCGGCGCTTCCCCGACCCCTCTCCGCGCAGGGCAATCGCGCGCTCTTTCTTTACCTGCGCTTCCCTGGTGGGCAGCCTGTTGTGCTCCCGCGTCGACAGCTCTGTTTCAACGCCTTCCGGTTCCCGTAGCTCTGCAGGGGCAGAGGATCGCTGGCGCCTCCTCGGCCGCTAAACGACCCGGGTCTGCCCGACCCAGCGAGTGCTTCGCAGGACCGCCCAGCGAGGGGTAGCTGAGTCGAGGCAGCGCGGTTCCCAAGGCAGCCACGGCTGCGCCCACCCTCCAGTTCGGCCCTCCGGGCAGCCGCGGTTGCTTTCAGTCTCTGCCCATTGAAACAAAGAGCGTGAGAGCGTGACGAGCCGGGCGGCGCGGCCAATCAGTGGGGCGAAGGGAAAGGCCTCCTCCCGCAGCCTCCGGCCCGAAGCTGCTGCTGGCTAGAGTAGGGAGCTGGGAGCCCGCAGGCGGGGGCTGCTGCAGACAGGCGCGGGAGCCGGCGCAGCGTCAAGTGCAGGTCGGACTCACGGACCGGGCCCATTTCCCTTTCACCCGTGAGTTTGCTGCTACCCCGTCGTTTCCCTTCTCCCCATCCCCTTCCACCTTGGCGCTCATCCGGGCTTTGAGACCGGATGCCTTAAACACGAGGTGGGACAGAAACCAAGTGAACAATGAGAGTTCCTCACCTTTGTATAGCGGGAAGTGGGGAAATAGCGTTTCCTGTGTGCTTTCTGTGTGCAGATGCGCCTGCAAGGACATCTTCTTCTCAGCAGCCGTGTGAAAGGGTAGCAATGTGCCCATTTAACAGGAAAGGACTGAAGCACCTACGCAGCACAGTTAGGAAGTGCAGAGCTAAGAGCTCACACCCAAGTCAACATGTCTGACTTCAAAGACTGCCCCTTGCCAACACTCCTCTATTCTGTCAGATTAAGGGTTAGTGGGGAAAAACCAAAGCCAGGTTGGGAGGACCAACTTGGGATTGCATAGAATTAGTGAGCAAGGACTGTTATTTCCATTTCACAGATGAAGAAACTGAGCCAAAGAGAGAGAGAGGTTATGAGTCTTGCCCTGTATCTTGCCCTGAGTTAAGCATCCAACTCAGCACCCCCGTGTTGCTCTCTAGATGCTAATTGTTTGCCCTGCAGCGCTGCCTGGAGAGCATTTTTGCACAGGTAGTCTCAAACCATCTCAATAGCAGTCTCAATGTGACGATAGTGGTGAGGGAGAAGGGGAGGAGGTAGTGGGGAGAGGGCTGAGGGCAAATGGAGGCAGCATTTATGGTGCCCGTTGCACGGAAGTGGAAACTCTTCTTGGCACTTTCTTTCTTTTAGTTTTTTTGTTAATACTTTTTTTTTGTTTTAAACACAACAAGCTGCCTGTTTGATAAAAGCAACATGATTTCTGTAGCCCTTTGCAAACCCAACGGAGGCAAGGCTCAGAGAGGTAAAATGATTTGTCTGAAGTTACAAGGTGAAGCCAAAATTTGGACCTAGTCTCTGAATCCAGAACTCATGCTATTAATTAAAGTATGAGTGCAAGGTGGGCTGCCTCAGAGTCATTTTGGAGCGCTTGTAACAAATGCAGATTCCGGGGTCTTCCTCCTGGGGGATTTTGATATACTAGGACTAGGGGTGAAGAGTGTGATTTGTAGTTTTAACTAGTTCTGTAGTTGATTCTGAGGTGTAGGGAGATTCGTGAACCACTGTTCTAAACACCACCTGTGATGTTGAAGGTTATAAGTAAATGGGCCTGCTGTTGGTGTATTTGTCCGTGGCATGTCTGTCATGACATGTAACTCCAGAGCACAGGTTCCTACCCGAGGTCCTTCCTAGAGTTGTATGCAAAGAATCTGGCCTCCGTACATTTTTCTGAGTCCACAGTTCTGTAGATTTTCAAATGGGCTTGTCATAACGTCTTCCTTCTTGAAGTCATGCTTGAAGAAGTGTGAGAAATAAAACCCCATTTAACCTAACCCCCAAACCACAGCTGTCTGTCACTGATATAGCTCTTTCATTTCCTGGCTCAAGGACAGGTTGCTAGGTTGCCCTTCTGTGAGCTCTTCAGAGGACTTCTCCTTTGCTGGATTTGGCATCACTGGCCCCAGAGAGGGAGCAACTCCATGGAAACGGCATGCAGGGCTGTCCAAAGTGAATGACCATGAAGGCAGTGGCTGGAAAACTGCTCCATTTTTCTCTGGCTTAGAAAGCAGGTATTACTTTCTTTATGTACAGTGTGTCTAGGAGGCTCTTGTGGGGCTTGTTCTTGACTTCTGATGCTTAGAAACAAGTAAACACTCTGATACCTTCGGCTGCTGTTAGCTTCTTCTTCGGCCTGCCAAGGTACTTCACCTTCTCTTTTCCGCCCTCTTATTTACATCACCAAGACCTAGAGTTCCTTGGAGTAAAAATACAAATTTGGAGATGAATCACCTTCCATCTCAGGATCATGGCCTGTGAATGGAACAGTGGGGTACTGGTGGTGGAGGGTGGAAAGTGTGGATGTATGGAGAAGGCAGGTTGCTCACCTCGCACACTCAGGGGTGATGCTGGCAGTATCTCTTAGGTTTCCTTCAGACGTTTGCTTCTGCTCCCCTGTCCCATGACATTTGACTCTCATCTCCTAGAAGACTCCTGTTCAGTGTTTAAATTGGCTTCATCACCAAATTAGGTACTTGCTGCTGGACTTGGTAGGCGTAGAATCACATAAGACCAAGAACAGATCTCAGAGCTCTGGCAAAAGTAATGACAGGAAATGGATTGTGTAAAGGTACCAGGGCTGGGCTACTGGAACAAAGCGAGGGACTCTGTGCAGGGATGGGGCTAGTATTTGCAGCATGGCTCCAGCTGGATACAAGGCATCCCATCTCTGGCCTCATGTGTATGAGTGTGATCCAACTGATGGCTTTAGTGAGACCACATTTTCTAATTTCAACAAATAAACCCTTAAAAGCTTGAAGGTTTGGAGATAAAGCTTTCAGTTGAAACAATAATAGCTGACTTTGACTGCCTGACCCCTTTGTGCCAGGAACTTTCTATCTGTTACCTCATTTAAGCTTCTCAGCAACCCTGTTGAGACAGACAGTCTATCCCATTTTGCAGAGAGGGAGACTGAATTTCAGGAACGTTAAGTAACTTGTGTAAGGCTTCACAACTTGTAAGTGGGGGCATTGGGACTTCAGCCCAGGGATGTCAAACTCCAAAGCCCAAGAAAACTCTTCTTTGCTGCCTTCCAAACAAGCAGTCTATAATGCATTCTGCAAATGACCCAGCTTATTAGACCAATTGCAGCATTTACAACGATTTAGTTGCTATCTTGCCTTTATTCCAATTATCTCATTAAAAAAATCACTAATATAACTTATGGAGCAACTTATATACCAGGTGCCAAGCACTTTCTGTACTTTTTCTCATGTTATCCTTCATGACAATCATTTTGCATATAAGGATACTGAGGATCAGAGAGGTGGAGAAACTTCACCTGGGATTTTTAAGGATTTCCAAGATGACATGTGTTATAGTTTTCCCCTACAGATATTTTAATAATGCCCTCCACTTGCATCTCCTTACTGAACCAAATTTGTCCTTTATTTGTTTTATCTGGTTGTAGATTTAGCAGTGAGAACTACTCACTGGATGCCACAGAAATTAAAGACACAGTTGTTGGAGGTATGATGTCAGAGAGCATTTGCCACCAAGGTTGGCAGAAAATGACTGTCCAGGAGAGCTGAAGATGAATTTCCATATCTGCAGATCTGGATGTGTTGGGACAGTACTCGACTTGTGGAGTCAAGTAAGTACGAACACAGGATCTGCATATTAAAAGAAAAAAGATGCATTTATCTCCCAAGTACGTGGTTGATTTCCATTTATGTCACTGTGTCCATCCATGTCCCTTTCTTCATTTTAACTTCTTATTTAGAAATAATTTCAAGCATATAAAAATGTTGCAAACATAAATAAAACTTAAAGAACACCCATGTGCCCTTTACCCAAATTCACCTATTATTAACGTTTCTCTTCATTTGTTTTATTATTCAAGTGTGCCGTCTGTCTATGCATACACAGGATATTTTCCTTGAACTATCTGAGAATTGCATACATCAAATTTCAATATTCCTAGATTCAATGTTTGTAGATTAAAATTCTTTTTAAAAAGACTGTTTTATCTCTATGACAATGGCATAGTTACTACAGAATATTATAAAATGAAAACTTACATGGTATATTTGATACTGTGGGGGGTGGGGGGCTAGGGGAAGGATAGCAGGGGGTGGGCAGGTTGGGCAGGGATAACATTAGGGCAGGGATAACCTAATGTAGGTGACGGGGAAATGGAGGCAGCAAACCACCATGGCATGTGTATACCTATGTAACAATCCTGCAAGACCTGCACATATACCCCAGAACTTAAAGTAAAATAAAAAACAAAAAAAAAAATCCCAAAATTATAGAAAAAATAAAAACTAAATAAAATAAAATAAAAAGAGGAAATATATCCTTGCTCTTTGATCCTGTTTCCTGGCATACAACTCCTAAAATCCTTTGAATTTCCAAAGTGATATCTTTTTGTATGCTGATGATTGATTGATGGCTGGCAGCCCATGGTTGCTTCAGGCTGGGAACTGGTCACCAGACCAAGGCATCATTAGAGGGTTGGGACATAACAGCCTTATTCCCGACCCCCAGGAAGGTAAAAGGGGTGGCTGGTTAAGTTGATCACCAGTGGCCAATGACTTAATCAATCATGCCTATGTAATGAAGCTTCCATAGAAAACTCAGGGGACTGGGTTTGGATACCTTACAGATAGCTGAATATGTAGAGGCTCCTGGAGGGTGGTGCCCCTGGGAAGGTATAGAAGCTCTGAGCCCCTTCCCCAGTACCTTACCCTAAGCATCTCTTCATCTGTATTCTTTGATATACCTTTATAAGAACTGCTAAATCTTAGGCATTTCCTGAGTTCTGTAAGCCTTTCTGGCAAATTATTCAAACCCAAAGAGGGGGTCATGTGAACCCAAACTTGAAGCCCATTGGTCAGAAGTTCTGGAGACCTGGATTTGCTACTGGTGTCTGAAGGGTCTGGGAACAGTCTTGTGAGACCTAGTCCTCAGCTTGTGGGATATGTCAGTATCTCCAGGTAGATTGTGTCAGAATTGAATTGAAGAACACCCAGCTGGTGTTTGCTGCAGAACTGATTGCTCATCTAGTGTGTGGGAAGACCCCACACATTTGGAAATGGAAATCTTCTGTGTTGATTGTTGTGAGGTGAGAGCAAAGGACAAAGTTTGTGTATTTTCCCCTCAGAGTGTATTTTAAAGCTAAATTGGTAATAATTGCTTAAATTTACTATATTTGCCTTTATAAAAACTTTAAATTTACATTATGTTTGTTGAAACTTGAAGCTATGCAATTAATTATAATATAAACATGGAGTTACAACTAAGCATGTTATAATCTAAATAATTGAGTTTAACAAATTGGTTTATATAAAATCCTAGGCAATATTGCAAAATTATACAGACCTGTCAAATTTTTCCACTTAAAACTTCTGAACAAAATTTAAGGGTATAGTAGTTTTCAAGTAATTGTAAATGTCAATATTTAGTTTGATGATGTTAATGTGGATATATTTTCTTATGTTAAAAAAGACTTTTGGGAGTTGAGATCAATAAAATAAGGAGGCAATAAATACCTAAATCTGTTTAAAGACATAAAATATACAATTATTACTAATTGTTAAAGTATACAATTATAAGCACTAAAGCTACTTGGTATAA